TAAAAGCCATCGGAGACAAGAAACAGATCACTTACAAGGGAACACCCATCAGAATTACAGCAGACTTCTTGGCACAAACCATCAAATCATGAAGAGTGTGGGGGGAAATCATTCAAGCTTTGAAAGTAATAACCTCCAGCCAAGATTGATATATCCTGCACAACTGTCCCTAGAAATTGATGGAAAAACAAAGGTGCTTCCAGGATAAAGAGGAACAAGGGGAATTTGCAACCACCAATTCAACTTTACAGAGAATACTTGCAGGACCTTCTAAAAAAGAAAAATACCAAGATTCCAGAAACAGTGGCAGAGAGGCCGCAATGAATGGAGCAGAAAGAAAAATGAAGAAGACAAACTGACAACTAATGACAGAAAAAAAGCTCAACAGAAATGAGGGAGAGAAGGTTGGATGGTATGAACAGCTATTTTGGAGAAAACAAGACATCATAATAGCTAGTGCTGATTCAATATCATCTTATTTTGAAGTCCTATTAAGCTTTTGTTCTTCTGTCTCCATTGGTCTTAACATGTTGCATCTTATTGGATTTTATTATATGTGATAATATAAGCAAAAACTTTTATAGACAAGGAGATTACACAGAAACTATTTATTTTCTGTTGGTTGATTCTAAATACCCTGTAATATTGTCATTCTCTTGAATGGTTTTACATTGTCTTGATATATTTGGTGCTACAGTATACGAAGTTATACTCAAAGATTTCAAGGAAAGAGACACTATGGTAACTACTTTTATGTCGGGATATCTTGTGGTGAAACACTATTTTGCTTATGTTTTGACCTGTGCTGTTTTGTTGTTATGCCCTCTTTTATTTCAATCTCCTTTTTTTATTATTTACTATTTTTATTTTTATATTTTTAATTAAGGGAAAAATAAAATATAGCAGGATATATTATAGTCACCCACTTTGATTTCCTATTAACTTGATTTGAAACCCTGCATTGCTCTCACCATCTTGTTTTGACTGATTTTTCTCTATGCTGTTTTGCTTGATAGTAACAAGTTCAAGAGTATAGGCAACAACTGTGAAGACAGTAAGATTCATTATGACGCCCATTCTGGTTTGAATATTATCTTCGTTTGAAGTCTTGTAATCTCTCCAATGTTTTGGTTTTATTGGTTTTGTTCTTTACTGTTTTGTTCAATTTTATTATAACTGATGATATAGGCAATTCTTTTGAAGATAGCAAGAGGCAATATGGTAACCATTGTTGATCACCTTGTATTTTGTTTTTACATTATCTATTATGTCCATCCTTTTGATTTGACTGACTCTGTTTTGTTTTGTCACATTTGGTTTTATCCTCTTCAAAAAAAGTAATAAGAACTGTAGGAGTAATAAAACCCAAAATGTGTAATTGTCATTGTACAAGAGAGGAAAAGAAAGTGCTCTAAAGATATAACTGCATGTATATTTAAGTGTATAAATAGATAACCATATTACTGAGTTTTGTTGGATCACTGAACAGAACTGTTTGCAGTCTCACTGCTTGAAGGTCCACTTTATATGCTTTAATTTTGTAACTTGAACAACTATTTCTAAGATGACAATATGTAATCTATTAAGTAGTGATTTCCTACTGTTTATTTTTTCTGAAATTCTGTATAACTTGTACCCTTTTTGGGTTTTTTTTTTCCTCCTTAAATAAAAAAAAAGACTAATGTAGCTTTTAAATCCTGATACAATATTAACAATGTCCTCTGCCTTCCTTTTTTTAGACAATTCCTCTCCCTTTCCCTTTCTCAGGGTGCTTTGTATATTTTGGGTCCCACTAACTCCTTTAGTTTTTAGATTAGGGGGGCAACCTGCTATCTATCTAAGTGGTGTTGAACCTTTTTACCCCTGAGCTTGATCTTGAGCTGTATTCCTTTACTTAGTAAAGCCTCAAGGTTTTCCTTCCTTATAGCTGAGTAGTTCTCCACTGCACAAAAGTGTCATGATTTTCCAACCTATCTGCAGCTATCTGACGAGTTGTCCCTATTTCTCTCTGGTTCCCTGTTACATAGAGCGTCATTTTCTCATCTTTGACTTTCAGTTTATTAACCCTCTTTCAGGTTGAGTATATTTCCTATTTAGAGCATCTCGACAGATCCTATCTCCTGATCTACTCTGCTTGTGTTTCTTTTTATTATTGTATCAAGGCTATCTATAGTAGAGATTATAGCCTAACCTTCTCTGCCTCATCTCTGCTATTCTATATTTCTGCTATTATTTGTCACTTTTCTCCTTCATTCCACTGTCTGCCTCATTCATTGAGGCCTCTCTACCACTGTTGCTGGAATCCTGGTATCTTTTATTCTATCTCTCTCTAGAATGTCTTTCAGTATTTTTTGTACGGTTGGATTGGTGGCCACAAACTCTCCGTTAATTTTGAGAGAGAGTTTTTCAGGGTACATCAATCTGGGTTGGAGGTTATTTTCTTTCAGGGCTTGGACTACTTCACTCCAGGCTCTTCTTGATTTGATAGTTTGTGTTGAGAAGTCTGTCACTATTTTGATGGATTTTCCTTTATAGGTAATTTGCTTCTTTTCTCTGACTGCTTTTAATATTCTGTTTTGTGGTGAATTTTGGGGATGTTGATTATTATATGTCTGAGTGTAGATCTGTTTTGGTTGTAGTTGGTTGGAGTTCTGTATGCCTCATTTATCTGGATATCATTTCTTTTTCCTATACTTGCGAAGTTTTCCTTAATTATTTCTGTGAATAGTTTTGTTAATCATTTGTGTTCACTCCTGTTTCTTTGCTGAGGTTTTTTTATTCTTAAATTATAGATCCCCTTGTCGTCTTCTAGCATTTGTATTGTTACTTCCTGGTTCCTTGTTATTTTTAAAAGGTCTTTTCTTTCACAATCACACATTGCAAATCTATCTTCAAATTTTGAAAGGCTAACTTTAGTTTCTGCCAAGGCATTTTGCCAGGTTTAGATGGAGTTTTTAATTTTCTGGTAATTTCTTTGGATCTGTTTCATGTATTCTAGATTTTGTTTATATTCTTCACCAAAGGTTTTTTTTTTTTTAAGGTTTCTCTTCTTTTTCTGTGTTCCTCCCTTCTTCCACCTGTGTCTTCTTGAGAGAGGCTTAGCATTTCTTTTATTAATCTTTTTATATCTTGCCTCACTTGGATTAGAATTTCAGTTTTAAGTATGTCTATAAGATCATGAAGGCATTTCTTTATGTCTGCTAATGTTGTGGCCAATATTCCATGATTGCTCCACTGGATCTCTTCTGTATTTACCTCTCCTGGACTTACTTTCCCAGGGTCAGTGGCTGACAGCTTTTTCTTATTTCTTTCTCTTGTCATGTTTCTGGTTTCTTTCAGACAGGTGTGTGGTAGAGGTCTCAGGCCCTCTCTGTATTGCTTACAGTTTTTCCAAAGCATGCTGGCTGGGGGCTTGCTGCCTTCTACAGTTTACTGTTATCTGAGGTTCACAGAGGGACAATGTGGGCTGGCCCCATTTCTCTGAGCCAGTCAACCGGCAAGTGCCTTCAGCATCTTAGTCTGTGCTGTGCAGACGACACAGGTTTGGGACAGTTTTGTCCCTGGCTATTGGATCCCAATCAGGGACGTGACTCTGCCCAAGCAGGTCCCACCAGTCCTCTTTGGGCCAGGGGCAGCTGACTGACGCCACTGAGGTTCTAGGTTCAGAACCCTGCCCAACTCCAAATGTCTTCCATTTGGCTCCACCTGCCATGGGACCCAATTTCCAGCACTCCCCGCAAATTAATGCAGCTCTCCACCTTGGCTCTACTATATGCTGTGCTGCGTCCTCCCGCCAAAGGCCTCGGACTCACCAACTCCCAATTTCGGAGGCCGTGGCTTCAGTGAGACTGAATCATCCGACTCCAGGATGTGCCCAGCACAGTGCAGAACAGGTCCCAGTGAGCACATCTGGTTCCAGCATTTCATCCAGGTTTTTCCTTCCTTTCTTTCTTTTCCTTTTCCCTCAGTTTCTTCCTGGGGCGTGAGAATCCCTCTCCTTTCATCTGGTCTTCTTCATATTGTTAAATTCTAGCATCTGAGTTGTTTTTCTCAGAGAGGCTCTCTACCCAGCTACCTATCAAGCCACCATCTTCCTTTTTCTTCAAAACACTGATATTCACTGTGCAGCTTGAAGGTCTCCTAGCGTCTTTTCTATGCAGACTGTAGCTTGTGTAAGTCACAGAAAGCAGCTGATCCAGCTGGGGTACTCTCAGTAACATATTCCAGACAAACATTTTGGTGCCATGACAGCAAAGAGCCTATTATTTCTATTTTTCAGTTGAGGTAATGGGTACTTTATTCAAGTGACTGATGCTTCCAGTGCTTAGGAAGAAGCACAGTTACCCATAAAATTACTTTGACCCTAGAGTCCACAAACTACAATAAAATGCAACTTACCACATTCCACATTCAACTCAAGTACATCAAATTGGTAAATTGTGCATCACTGAATTTAAAACCTGACCCTCCCATTTGACCTTACAATTTGAGATTTCAAACATGCAAGATGTTTTTAAGATTTAACTTCCAACACAGTATCATAAGAGTCAACATTTAGGTATGTCACACAGTAATTTATCTCATTTAAACCTCACAATCCTCATGAATACCCTAAGATACTGGTATTGTTATCATTCCATTTCACAAATGACAAAACTTAAGCCCAGAGAAAGTTACAACTTACTCAACACTACAGTTATTAAGTTGCCAGGGTTTGAGCCACATCAACAGGCAGCAGTCTCTGTTCCTCAGTGCAACTCTCTGTTGCCCTTAGATACACACCTTAGATACAAATGCAACTACAACATATGAACTACTTTCCTTCAGTGACAATCTAGGGAGATAATGTTCATGATTTAGTGCATTAGTATTTTATTTTACTATACATAATGTCATCTAGTCTGACTTTCTATATGCTCTACAGGACAAACAGAAATTTTGAATAATTTAGTCTAGAATTTAATAAAACTAGATGTTAACTCTCTGTATCAGTGGCTTACCTTGAAATACTTCCTTCTCATTCGTGTCATGTTCATCAACATAACTCCAGAATTTACTCCAGTTTTTCCATAGTATGGATGTCTAGCAAAGCGATTGTACCATCCTATCCGAGGCTCCTCATGTTCTGGTGCCATTGCAGCAATTTGTGTGGAATTAAATTTCTTTAGTAGAGACCAAATATCATCAACAGGTCGTAAAAATAGGATATCCGTGTCAACATACAACAGTGAGTCAACTTCTTTCAGGATTAACTAAGAGAAGAGATACTTGTTGAATTATAATTCTATTAATAAAGGAAGCTATATAGAAGATGTACTAAAGAGATAAGCTAATTTACATTCATTTTCTAAAGTATAAATCTATCATATTATCCTAAACATTACATCAACTTTTAGAGAAGAAAAACTAGCAAAAAACTAAAACATAAAGCTCAGAACCTATAATTGGAATAAAAGCTTTATCTTCTAGGATCAGGGAGGAAATTCTTTCTTAATGGGAAATAACACTGTATTTCAAATCCTAACTTCCTGAGATAAATACAGAAATAAATCAATAAAAATGAAGACCTTTTGAACATCTTCCCTCAGCCTGTAGCTCCAACCATTTTTATATCATTTTGGCATCAACTAAGAAAGTGGCTACCACCAAACTCGAACCCAGACCACCTACCTCTAGAGTCTATGATCTTATTTCTATTCTTACTTTCTGCGAATAACGAAAAACATGTACTTAGCAAGGGTGAAGATAAGAACTGCCTTAGTAGAAATGTTAAATCTCCAACATGTACATTCTGGAGATTTTCTAGGGTAGTCTTTATTCTGCCGTATTCAAACTTTAGAGCCAATTCCTACAAACTTAAATTTATCACCTATCATGGGCTAATGGCAAGATTTAATGCTGAGCTTAATCTATACCTTTTTATGTAAGAATATGGGGATAAGAGTTTGATCCTCATGCCGCTACTTTTCAAAGTTGCTACACTTTTGATCAGCTAAAGTTACTTCACTGCCTCAATGAACAGCTACCAGAGAGAAAGTGCCTCACTGCTCCCTTAGTTCACTATCAGCAGATACAATGTGAGTAAGAGGAAAAGATCTGACAGGTGACTGCAGAGTCGGAGGAGGGATGTTCATTTGCTCTCAATGACCTCAATTAACTTGAAGATGATTGTCAGTTTTTAATATAAACATTCTGCTTATGTACCATGATTCATCATCTGTTTAGACTACCTAGCATACCACAAAGATGGTGCATGATGTTTCAAGTTCACCTCTTGAAGCTAATGCCAACTAGAAGTCAGATATAAGTGATACAATAATCACATCAATATTTTTCTATAGTTCATTTTGGTCCTTTTCATTTATCTATTTTGAAGAAAGAGAAAGTCAGCAAAAAGGTTTATCATTAGGAAAAATAAAGCAATAGTAAAGTTTGAGAACAATCTGACGAGTTTCAAGAATGCATCTTGCATTACCATAATTCCATTTAGGAATTTAACCAAATTGTATAATTAAATGATCTGACAAAATTAATATTACAACATCAGCAATTAAACTTATTAATAAAGGAGAACAAATTGACAGAGAAATGTCTGTATCTCATACTTTTCTTTCATCACTTATTGCTTTTCCAAAACTCATCTGCATGACTAGTTGTTTAACAACTTTTTCCTCCATCAGCGAGCTCTATTAAAACATAAGCCCTGTCTCTGCCCATTCATCCCTACACACCCAGCACTTCAGCATGAATGACAGGCAGAAGAGAAACTCATGCACTGATGAAATGAATGTGACACTGCAATAGTTTAATATAAATTTATCTTAAAAACTGATAAAGCATAAAATATTTTAAGACTTTTTCTCAATCTCAATCCTTTACTTGTATGCTTTTTATAATGGAAAGAAAAACTGAAAAAAATTCTAGGATCAAAAATTTTTAAGCACAGCATCAAAGATACTGGCCAGGCAAATTAGACTATTAAAACTATAGTTAAATCTGATACTCTGGCTTTGGTAAGTTATACTCTTAATATGCTAGGGTTGCTTTAACCCACTTAACAGTTACAAGAAACAAATTTAGGTATTGAACCTGGAGCCTCATACATACTAGGCAAGAAATCTACCTTTAGGGCAAGTTACATTGCTAGCCCCAAATATTTTAAGGTTAGCAATACTCATAACTTTGACCTGCTCTATGGGAGTTGTTTTTTTTTTTTCTTGTAGCCAAAAGAAAATAGTATGTTATAGTTTGTGTCTAGATGTCCCCTCAAAGCCTCATGAGGTCACAGGGCTTTTTGTGGAGGTAGGTGAATCTAAAGTGTGTAACTGATTTGTAGTGCAATGCTGGGACTAAGGGCACTGGGATTAGCGCACTAGGATTAAGGTAGGTAAGTGCTGGATTAGTGGCACCACCCTAATCGGTAGACTAGATACAATATAGGGACACAGAGAGGCTTGTCTGGTACTCTGATTGCTTTTGCTGTCCTCTACCACCATGAACAGCTGCACCTCAGTCACACCACCCTGCCTTGGAGCCAACTGACTGTGGATGGAAACCTCTACAAACTGTGACCTAAATGAATCTTTTTCTTCCTTAACTTTGGATACTAGGTATTATCTCAGCAATGAGAAACAAGACTAAGAATATTTAAATGTACATCTGTTTATTTATGTAAACTTACGTAACTTCAGAAACTCATGTATGTAAAAGTAAATTTCAAATTAAAACAAAAAACCAAGAGGGAGAAAAACTTACTGGCAAGAATAATCTCTGGGAGGCACATGGTTTAAAAAGCTTTTTCCATTCCGCTGCATTCTCACTTGGAAATGTAATGGGATATAATGTGTAATTAAATGTTTGCAGAAATGACCAGCTGTCCAGCTAAAAAATAAAAATCAATTAGATTTGTCTCACTTTCAATTTTTCCTGTAATATAATCCAACAGTTACAAAACAAAAGAACTAAAAATAGTAACCATATACGTTTTGGAGTTAGGAGAAAGATTTCTTTTCTACCAGTATTTTTATTTTCATTTAAAAAAAATATCTAAAAATCATAGTAGTATCTCAGGAAAATCACCACCACTAAGACATAGTAGAAGTTATCAGGGTATGAGTCAAAAAACCGGAAAGCTGGAAGAGTCTTGCTAGTACTCGTTCCCCTTAACTTTATGTATGCAAAGCCTCTCAATTTCTACATAAAATAAAATCAGGGAAATTAAACACAAATTTTATTACCATAGTATGTGACTTAAAAATGCTGACATTCCAAGGCAAACTAGTATCTTTTTTTTTTTTTTTTAAATCAGTACCAGGGATCAAACTCACGACCGCCTCCTTGCAAGGCAGGTGCTTATGCCACAGAGCTAAATCCCCAGCCCTGGCAAACTAGTATCAGTTTCTCCATTTATACAGTTTTAATATACACTGCTATTCCTGATAATAAAATACTCTGATAAATACATATCTGATGCCAATTTTTTAAAACATCATTAAAAAATAACAAAATATATCTAAAATCCATGACAATCTTCACACCTTAAATACATTACAAGACACTGAATTATTTCGAACTCAGTTAAGTATTACATAGCACTGTTGCATCTATAGATTGTTTTAACTGGGGTGGGGTGGGGGGGGTGGGCCACAGCAACTACTATGTTGCCCAGGTTGGTCTTGAACTCCTGGGTTCAAGTGATACTCCTGCCTTATCTTCTGAGCCATGACTATAGGCATATGCCACCAGGTTCTCCCTTAGAACTGCTGATTCAAATGACCAAAAAAGCACTCAGAAACAATTTACAGAGAAAAAAAAAAAAAACCTAAATAATTTATGTATAAGGCTGAAGATCTCTTATCACTGTATTCAAATAACTTTTTAAAAAATTGGTGTCACATAGTGTTGGGAGCCGCAGCCCCGAGCCCGGTCGCCTCACTTGGCGGACGTGAGGCCTGTAGTAAAGAGTAAAGCCTGAGGTAGATTACCCCTCCCATCGAGCACGTTAGTTTCCTGCTTACCGCGTAAGCAACCCGCTCAACAATATAGTCTGCCTGGCAACTGATGATGTTAGCCAATCAGCTTGCCTTGCTTACTTTAACATGATTGGACACTGTATCCGTATATATACTGGTGCCACCCCTGGGGGGGAAGAAGAAGCCCGGAAGTAGAAGCCCAGAAGGAGCCGCGGGGAGCGGACCAGAGGAGGCTTCGGCTGGGAGCGATCCCAGGGCAGGCTGTACGGAGAAGAAAAATAAAAGAAAAGGTTGTCCACTGCCAGGCTTTGTCGTGTGTCCTTCCTGCCGGCCGGGAGCGGACATCGACATTTGGAGGCCCGCCCGGGGACTGATCACCCCCGAGACGTGGAAGTGGACAACGCTCCAGTACAGAGCTGCGAGACAGGTGAGTTGGGGATAAGCCTGGGCTCTGGGTGGCGCGCACCTACAGGGCTTTTAGACTCCCCTCAGGCTCACGCGTAAGTGGCGGATTCCTTGGGCCTCACGCGGTGAGTAACATATTAAAAGATGGGAAACATGCTAGGTAGCAACACTAAGAGCGAGGGTGGTTGTGGAGAAAGCTCTCAAGAGCTTACAAAAGTACGCAGGGTATTTGAGCAGGCCCAGTCGGGGAGCTCCCGAGAGGGGCCCGTTAAGGGGAACAAAGATGCTAAGGAGAAGGACGGGGCTCTAGCCTCGGAGTCGTCTGACTCCGAGGACGAGGGAAAGTTGAATGGCAAGGAGGCCAAAGAGACCAGCTGTCAGGAGCCTAAGTCGCTCGATAAGGAGTCGCAGGGTTCTTTCCCAGTAATTCAGGGTACCACAGAGCCATTTGTTGACTTTGTGGCCCGAATGCAAGATGCTGCCGATAAGATATTTTCTGATCCGGGAGTGGCTCGACCGCTGGTAAGGCAGCTGATTTTCGAGCAATGTACAAAGGAGTGCAAGGCAGCGATAGCTCCTCATAAGAACAAGGACCTCAACGCCTGGATTAGGATATGCAGAGAGATAGGGGGGCCGCTCTCCAACTCGGGAGTGGCTGCTCTCCTGGCCGCGGCTGTACAGCAGAGGGGACCTCGCGGGTTAGAAGGGGAATGTAAGGCTAAAGGGTGTTTTGCCTGCGGGGAGCCAGGACACATTAAACGTCATTGCCCAAACAATGCAGATGCTAGGCCTCGCCCTAGGAATGAAGAACCATATGTTTGTGGGCGATGCAAGAGGGGATCACACAAAGCTGAGGAGTGTAGGTCGGTCTTTGATGCTCAGGGCGGCCGTATTTGTGGACGAGATGCTGGAGGGCCAAAAAACGGCCAGAGGGGGCCCCCTTCACAGGCGGGCCCCCGCCCCAGAGACAGGACAGCTCAGGATGGCAGCCTTCAACAAGGGCCACCCCTGGGTCAGCAGGTGTGGACCTCAGTGTCGCCTCCAGACTTATACAGAAGGTCACCATTAGGACGGATGGCGTTAGGACCCTAGGTGACATGCAGAAGCTATTGGGAGACATTAATTGGATTAGGCCATATTTACATATACCGGGTTCAGATCTCAAACCCCTGTTCGACCTTCTGAAGGGAGACCCAGATATAGCCTCCCACAGGAGGCTCACTCCTGAGGCAAGAGCTGCCTTACAGAGAGTGGAAAAAGCCTTAGGTGGGGCTACCTTACACAGAATTGAACCAGGGCGACCCTTTGATGTCTGTTTGCTACAGACTAGTCTACAGCCCACAGCGGTGATTTGGCAGAAAGGACCATTACTGTGGATACACCCTAAGGTCTCACCTGCAAAAGTCATAGAGCATTACCCGGAGGCAGTCGCTTCATTGGCCCTTGAAGCGCATGATAGAGCTGTCCAACATTTTGGCTCAGGACCACAAGCCATCCGAGTACCCTATGCCGCCAGCCAGATCAAGACCCTGGCTGCCTGCATAGATACATGGGCCATTCTGAGATGTGTTTTCCATGGGGATATAAACAATCAATACCCTAAAGACCCTATCTTGTCATTTGTCACTCAGCACCCTATAATTTTTCCAAAGGTTACTGCCTCTGAGCCATTAGTCCCAGCAACTACAATATACACAGATGGCTCCAAGACGGGGATAGGCGCCTATGTGATCCTAGGCAAGCCCCCGGTTACCATACAATTTAAACCTGATCAGCCTCAGGTGGTGAAACTGCAGATCGTTAAAATGATTCTTGAACGGTTCTCAGAAGCCATTAATATTGTCTCCGATTCTAGCAATGCTAAGCAATGCTATGCAAGTGCTTGAGACTGCCGGTTTAATTAGATCCACTTCCACAGTGGCTGGGCTGTTCCTGTCTATCCAGACATTGCTTCAGAACAAACACCATAAGGTCTTCACCACCCACATAAGAGCACATACATCCCTGCCAGGGCCTATGGCACAGGGGAATGCGGCTGCTGATACTGCCACTCGCCCGTTATGGATTTTTACCTTACTAACACCAATCGAGCGAGCCCGTGCCTTCCATGATAAGTTTCATGTCAATGCCAGGACACTAGCAAACCATTTCCATGTTTCCAGAGCAGATGCACGAGATATCGTGCGACTATGTGACTCCTGTGCCACATACAAACCTGCCATACCGATGGGAGTAAACCCTCGAGGTTTGATCCCTGGTGATGTTTGGCAGATGGACATCACACATATACAGGAGTTTGGGACTCTTAAATATGTTCATGTTTCCACAGACACCTGTTCTCACGTCATATTTGCAACAGCAGAAACAGGTGAAAAAGTGTCTAATGTGATCAATCATTGCCTGGCGGCTTGGGCCGCATGGGGCAAACCAAAAATATTAAAAACTGATAATGGACCAGCCTATATAGGCAAAGCCTTCAATGAGTTCTACAAAATGATAGAGGTTCAATTAAAACATGGTATCCCATACAATCCCCAAGGTCAAAAAATCATTGAGAGGGCTCATAAAAGCCTCAAAAAAATTTTACAAAAACAAAAAGGGGGAGTAGGCCAAGGCCTGGCCCCAAAGGCACGATTATCCATGGCACTATTCACACACAATTTTTTAAATTTAAATAATGATAATTGCTCCCCAGCCGTGGAGCACTGCAACCCTTCCCCCAACCATAAAGGGTGGGTGAAGTGGAAAGATGTCCTGACAGGACAATGGATGGGCCCGGATCCAGTGGTCAGCTGGAACCGAGGCGCGGTTTGTGTTTTCCCACAGGAATCGGGACGAGAACCACTGTGGGTACCGGAGAGACTGACACGGGCGACAAAGCCCTCGACTGAAGATCAGACCTGCCCTACCGGAGATCCATCACAGACCAACCAACAAGATGAATAAAAATAGCGGTAGCCCGAAATGGACAAGAAGATCCTCAGGCATATGCATGGCTCGCTCGCCTAGCCTACGACCGAGTCTAGGGACGGTGAGCTTCCCACACTCCTCCTCTAAAAAATTATGACATAGCTGGGTAGGAGAGTCAATGACGGGTAAGAGCGTACTCCCCCGGTGCGACTCAACCTAAGCCAGGCCCTACCCCATCCTGCACGTAAGCCGCTGGACTGTTAGACGCTGCCCAGGTCTAAATTTCTCTCCGAGGGGATTTCTTTACGGAGAGGAAATGAGTGCAAGCTTGTGTGCATCCAGGTTCCGTCCAGTTTGTGCCTGGCCCTAGAAAAAGGACGAGGGCCTCAGGGCCTTGACAGACCATGGGACGGCCGACCAGGGTCTAAGCCAAGGACCTACGGTGGGCCTACGCATAGGGCATAAGCCTCTGCACCCAGTCCAGGAAGGGCTACGATGCGCACATTCATAAAAAATAAAAAAGGGGGAGATGTTGGGAGCCGCAGCCCCGAGCCCGGTCGCCTCACTTGGCGGACGTGAGGCCTGTAGTAAAGA